ATTACTTGCATAAATAAAGCCTCAACCATTAATATGTCGCTATGTCTGTCGATCCTAATCGGCCTGATGATCCCTGGTATTGAACTAAAGGGCTCCTCGGCACTGGGTTAATAAATGTAGTAAGTTCTTTGAATTATTTGTAACTGTCATACAGATTGAGCGAGGTACAAGGTCAGCGCACCTAGACTGAATCCGAAGGTTCGTGGTTTGTGCCCGGTTAAAGCAAACAAAAAGGAGAATACACAAAACACGCTTCACACTTTGGGTGCACTATAAGAGTAACGATTAAATCAGAGAAGAGTTGGGCGAGGGTGCTTTTGACTAGTTGCCTTCTCTTTAGTCTATTAGATAGTTTTGTTTTAGCCTATATTTAAATTTTGACCGATTTGTATTTTTCACAAACAATATTTACATCATTAGGCTAACGTGTACATAGTCGACCTACGTGTTACATATCTGCTTGTTTGTTAATTTCCGGTATAAATTCTTTCAGAGGAACTTCAGCCATACAAGTCCCTTATTGACTAAAACTAGTTTATTCTTTCTCGATACAAATTTTAGTAAGATACAAAATTTCCACAGTCACTTTAAACTTAACAACCTTTATAACACTCGCTATAAATCACAGCGATTGATTCACATGCTCGATAACTTCACTCTATGCCACAACTGCAAAACACAATTTACGGCTCAATGTCACTACTATTAGGTTGACTCGATTATCTATCTCATCAGTCTGTTCTATTTATATCTCTTCAATCTATCTGCCTATTCAGTCCCGCTGGTTTTTCTCGCCAGGCTTATATATACTAAAAAAGAGAGCATCTAGCAAACACTCAGACATTCGGGTTCCTCGATAATTCATGATCCTTCGAGAAACTCCAGCGCGCATGCTCCCACCGTCGCGTGACTTCCGCTGTCGTAACATAAGTATTCACTGAATAGACTTTTAGTACAATAAAACCACACCTAGAAAAAAAATATATTCCTAGTTCTCCATTAATGTACTGAGCTACTCTCGCCAACAGTGCATACAAGTTATTCAATTATAATATTTGATAAATTAATAATGTGTAAAAATAAGTAATACTGATAAATATGTTATATCTAGTCTTTGTTTAGCTGATATGTGTTTGTAACGTGGCTGTGTTGAGGGGGAGACACAAAATCTATTCCAACATTTCCTCATTGATTTTTTTCTACATTATTTACTTTATGCTGTACTTGTGGTAGTTGAGAAAAGCAAAGAAACTTGTTAAACATATATTATTTAGGTAAAGTACTGTACCTTATTCGTGTTTCTGTTTGTCGACGTTCCCTGGGAATGTATGTTGTTCTTGAACTTGAGGTTACTCATTAGGCAAGTTTTTATAGCATTATATACCTGGACATTATCAGTGTGAGAATGAGGCAAATGTTTTTGTTTTTTTCCATTATTAAACGACTTAAGTACTGTTACGTAACTGCTCGTTTGTTAATTTCCGGTATAAATTCTTTCCGAGGAACTTCAGTGATACAGGTCCTTTCTTAATTAAAACTAGTTCATTCTTTCTCGATACAACTTTATAATACACAGAATTTCCACAGTAAGTTTAACTTAACTACCTTTATAACACACGCTATAAATCACAGGGATTCACAAACTTTACTTACGGCTTGACTCGATTATCTCTATTTTCAATCTCTCTATCTATGCAATTTTATCTCCGTTTTATTTGCTGGGCTTATATATTAAAAAAGAGGGCGTCTGAAACAGACTAGAGTTGCCAGGAAAAGTCATGAACCTTCTAGAATCTCGTCACGTGTTACCAGTACTAAAGATTCTGTCAAACATCGAAATTGAGGTGTATCTTAGTGCTATTTAGACGCGTTGTTTGTCGTATACACTTGAAATAAAGTGCTTGTTCGAACTGAACAAGTAATAAGTATTTTTTTTAGCCTTGTTCTTTCGTTTTTGTCCATGTTCAGGGTTATTGATGAGTGTTGAAATTCTCCGAAAAAAAACGGTATAACACAGTGATAGATAGGGAATCAAATGGTAGACTTGAGCTCAATTTTGTTTTGATAAATGCAACATTATACACTATTGTCTATCTTATGATGAAATCAAGGCTGGCGCCAACCTGTTCCTGATAGGGGACTGAGGTGGGTTAGACAAAAAAAAAAAATAGAGCACACATAATGAAGAACTTATGAAATGAATCAGCTTTAACAGTAATATATTTTTATTTGGAGAGGGGATGACAAGAGTAACTAAGACACATTTTCGGGCTCAACAACCCCCCCTCCTCTCGTGCCGCCGCTCCTGGTTAAAACACATAGAGGTAGAAACAAAATTCAGACTGAAAGTTTGTTTTTAAGCACGATGGGCTTTCTGTGCTCTGCTCGCCGCGGGTATCGAAACCGTATATTTAGCGTTATAAGCTTTTAGACTTGCAGCTGATTTACCAGCGGAATGGAGAGAGGGGTGGGTTGACTAATAGACAACCTTAATAAGGAGTTACAGAAACTAGGTTAGAGGCGCATGTGCAAGGTAAGTTCTGTTATAATTGTTTTGACAAGTGAGTTATCACCGAAATGATTAATTGATCTAATTGCAATACAGAACTTTGACAATCGTCAAAACAAACGTTCAAGACAAGGAACTGATAATGTTTGATAAGATGCCACATGATCAAAGTGAATCCCTGAAAACACCATTTTATGTGCATTGTAGAAACTTACCCCCTACCCCCAATATTTTATTTCCTATATTTGACAGGCCTGGCATGGTCTGGTTAGGGCGTTCGACTCGCGATGTACGATTCGCGTGTTCGAATTCCGTCACCGAATATTTTCATTCTTTCAGCCATGAGGACTTAGTAATGTGACGGTCAATCCCACATTTCATTGGTAAAAGAGAAACCCAAGAATTCGCATGAAGATTACTTTGTATAACATAGTAGTTAATAAGTTGACACACAGTTACGTTCCAATTCAAGTAGGTACTAAAATATTAAATATTAACCAATAAACAGCCATAAAACGGTGATCGTGAATGAAACACGAACCTGAAATAAGCAACACTGAACCACTAAGTAAACAAAATAAACAAAAACTAACGAAAGTGGGAAATCGTAGAAAGTAGTATGAGAAAATGGTGCACAACACATAACGATTCGCACAGGGAACACAGGTCAGCTATAGGTTTGTTTGTTGAATTTCGCGTAAAGATATTCGAGGTCTATCTGCTTTAGTCGTCCTTAATTTAGAAGTGATAGACTAAGGAAATGCAGATAGTCAAGGGGGCTGGTGCTTATGGTGAAATACCCTGAATTCTATATTCAGTGCTTGTAAGGGCATTCTGTTACATAATGTATATTAAAGTCAGCGAAACGGTACTGACACCAATTAAATAACGTTTTATTATTATTTAATATTATTTGTTTGTTTGAAGTTAAGCACAAAGATACACAATGGGCTATCTGTTCTCTGCCTACCATGAGTCTCGAAACCCGGTTTCTAGCCTTGTAAATCTGCAGACATACTGCTGGGACACTGGGGGAGTAACTATTTAGATAGTCATAGGTGTAATTTACGCGAGGAATGTATCCCTCACTTTTTCTTAATCGAGGAAACTCCCCCTCACAATAACATTTTTATTTGTCAATAATCTACTGGTCTAATCACTGGTCACTGTAGTACCCATAACATTTTTCATTTGAGATAAAATACCTTATTTCCTAACCCCACACAGACATTTTTGAAACTAAAGCTATACAATTAGCTAGAACTACACTTTTTTTTTCAAATTTTCTATTCTTTGTAAAGAAATATATTTAACTAAACATTCACGTATAATAGCTATCTAAAAGTACCATAAGAAAAGCGCCCCAGTTGCACAGCGGTATGTCTGCTGACTTTCAACGCTAGAAACCGGGTTTCGATACCCGTGGTTGGTAGAGCACAGATAGCCCATTGTACAGCTTTGCGCTCAATTACAAACAAACAAACCTCAGAAAACGTTATTTTTTGAGGCTGAAAATTAAACTTTGTTTTTCGTTATTCCCTCCAGCGGCTTCATTCTCACAGCTCCTAAGAGTTTAACTCCCGGGAAGAGCAATATCCTAAACTTGCATCTGTTTGATATAAAGACCAATGGATTTTTGAGAATTGGTGTAAAGGACCAAGATGGTGGTAATGTAGTAGCAGAGACTGAAGTGTCATTCAATGAAGGTTGGTTAACACCTTTTGTATAACAATTAGATTTTCTATTGATATGTATGTGCAATCATTTTGTTATTCATATTTTCAAGGAATTAAATTGACGCTTTTATAAAAGTGTTTAAATATCATTTAGCTCATTTTCTTACGATTTTTCCATTAACACAGACTAGTGCAATCTGTCTTTGTGACAAATTTAAAAAAACCTTGAGACTCAAAGAACATTTTCGCATTTCCTTTTTTTTTTTTCATAATTGCTACAGAAACTATAAAATATTTCTAGGAATTTTAATATGTAAGTCTTATAACGTAACAATTTGCGGTAGCTTGACTTACTTTTTGTTTTTAATTTATTTAGACAACCCTAGCAGTTCTATTGAGTTGGCTATTCCATCTGGAGTTGAAGTTAAACGGCCAAAGTTGTATGCCAATGGTTCCTACAGTAGTCCAAGCTCCAACGACTTTTTTTTCGAAAAGGACATCAATATGCATAAAGACAAACTTATAGTTTTCGTTCAGACTGATAAACCCATCTATAAACCAGGCCAAACAGGTATGTTGGAAAAATGCACTCAAAACAGCAATGTATGTAATTATGTTTGAATGCATCACATGAACTATTTTTGAGAAATCTGGTTCCTTAAATATTAGGTTAAAATCATATGATAAAAAATTAATAAGTCTTAACTGTCCTTTTCATTTTCTTCAGTACAAATAAGTATAGTGTTGTAAGCTATATTTTCCATGATTTGATTTAGTTGAGGGTACTGCTAAATCATAATAATACTAGTTTTAAAAAGTTAATAAAAGTAGCCCTAGAATACCTAAAATGTTTAATAATGGCTGGAGACGGCTTGAATGGGTAATGAAGAAAACTTTAATATAAGTTTAACATAACAGCAAATGTACAACGTTTTGATGACAAAACCTTGTCGAAAGGTTGTACATTTGCTGTTATGTTAAACTTATATTAAACTTTTCCTTCATTACCCATTCAAGCCGTCTCCAGCCATTATTAGTCTCAAAGTGGGTTCCTCGTCATCGAACCTAAAATGTTTGTGAATTTTAATGATAAAGAGAATTTGCGAAACATTTATAAATAATGCTACATCATAAATACAAGAATCAGTGAAACATTAGTCGGTTTCAGTTTCATTAGTGCCAGAAAAGTTAGTGAAGTTCAAGTATTCTGATCATTGTTAGTTTATCAATTACTTGATCGATTTGTCATTAAATTGTACACGTAAGTTTATACGTTAGTCATAGTACTGTTGCGTCAGCGAGGTCACGTGACTAGTATCACGTCACGTCATTCTCGAACTTTCACGTCTTTTCCTTAAATCTCGTGATCTTTCTAGATATAGTGTAGTCTTGTATATATAAGACCGGCCACGAAGTGACGGGGAGGCAATGAGTAATTGAATGTATGCGGAAAAAATATTGTTGGCCACGTGAGACGTGAATTATAGTGTTTGTTATAGAACGACTGTTGAAATTAAGTGTATTGTAAAGTTGTATTCGGAAAGAATAGACCAGTTTTATCTAAGAAAGGACTTGTGTCGCTAAAGTTTCGTCGGAACGAATTTACGGAAAATTAACTAACGAACAGAGACGTAACAGTACTATAAACAAGTAAATTACTATTCAAAGTGAAAACGTTGTTTGTGAACTAGAGTCTACAGGTACAACTGTGTACAAGTGACAGTAGCCTATAGCAAAGATTACAAAAGAAATACTCATTTGTTATCGTTATGTCGAGTAGACTTCGCTTTATTTTCATCGAATAATTTAAAAGAACCAGCTCGACGAAAGGAAACATTACAACACTGTCAGAAGTGGGATTATTTTAGTTGAAATAGATAAAACTTTGTTCAATTTCAACATGATCAGAGCAAGAAGATAAATTGAAGAAATGTGGAAGAACGTGATAGGAAATTAGAAGAGGGCTAGTCGTTTCTAATTTAGCAGTGAAAGACTAAAGAGAATTCAGCTAGTCATCATCCATTGCCAACTCATGGACTACTCTTTTACCAACAAATAGTGGGATTGACCATCACTTTGTAACACCCACATGGATGGAAGAGAAATTAGAAGAAGACCAAGAGTTATGAGACACGAATTTAAGAAGAGGATTAAAAGAAAGAGGTGTACGATTTAAAGAAGAGTTAAGATTAAAAATAAATTTGAAGACAAGATTGATGAAACTATTTGAGATTACAACAACAAGAATGAAGATGTACAAAGAGACTGTAATGACAAAATTGAAGTGCACAATAAAGACATCAACGAGGTAGAAAGGAGCATCATTTAGTTATAAAAAACATCAAAGGTAGAATAAAGCAGCTGGATAGTAAATGCAATTTTTCTGTATCTATTTAAGATTTGCAACCTAACTCCATCTACCACAAAATATGGAATAGGAAAACTTAGATGATATTCACATTACAATGACTGCTTTACCATCTGTTACGGTAGGATTTTCCTGGATTAATTATTCAATTCATGTCAATACCAAATCCAGTTCCACAACTTCACTGGCCCATTCATCAATCTGAAGAATAAAGGTATGATCAATTGGGCCATGAATAAAACATACCTTAGTGGAAAGATGTAGGAAGTCTAATGTTAAATACATTGTGTGTATGCAGTATCTGTAGTTAAAATGGCTCAAGATTCAATCTCATAGCATTAAATTTTCAAATCACAAATTCTGTCAGTAATTCAATACTTTATATGTTTTAATACTGAAAAATCTGAATAAGTGCATGTAGGAAGCAGGAATTGTTATAAGTTGAAAATTAAGTAAGTTGTATCTTAAGTTATATAAGGTATTGATTTTTCTAACCAATGAACATTTTATTTTGTGTAGAATCTCTTTCCTTTA